GTGGAGAGGTGACTAGAATCAGAGACAGAGTCAGATTTGAGATATATTTTAAGAAGTGGCTCTAGCTATTCTCAATGAACTGGATATAGATAAAACAAGAAAGAGAAGGTTGTAGGATAGATAATTGGATAAACTGAAGAACCATTTCTAGAAGGAGAAAGACTGTAGATCATTAACCAGCGGTGGAATTTCTAGGTCCTCTGCCTCCTACCAAGGAGTTTATGATATGATGCTAACAGCTCAATAAGTTTCAGCCTAACAGATTAACACAAAGTGCCTAGGTAATAAAATTTCAAGCCAAGGATCTTAGAATTTCATCTCCAAGTAACCGTCAAAAAGCCAGTACGGTTCAAGTGGTAGAGTGCTAGCCTTGAGAGGAAAAAAATGTAAAAATAAACCTCACGGACAGCACCCAAGTTGTAAGTTCAAGTCCCAGGACTGGCATAAACACACACACACACACACACACACACACACACACACACACACATACACACATATTAGAATCCACTCGCAAAAAATCATAATAATCTTATAATAATATTCTAAGAATCCAGTCACAAAAGGCCAAATATTGTATGCTTCCATTTCTATGAAATGTCCAAAAAGAAAATCCATAAAGTAGACATCATTTCCAAGGTCTGTTTTGGGGGAGGGGATAGAGAACTGCGTGTTTCTTTTCTTTTTTTTTTTTTTTGCCAGTCATAGTGCCTGAACTCTGGGCCTGGGCACTGTCCCTCAGCTCTTCAGCTCAAGGCTAGCACTCTACCACTAGAGCCACAGCACCACTTCCAGCTTTTTCTGCTTATGTGGTGCTGAGGAATTGAACCCAGGGCCTTATGCATGCAAGGCAAGCACTCTACCACTGAGCCACCTTCCCAGCCCAAGAACTGCGTGTTTCTATTTGGGGTGATGAAAATGTAGAATTAAACATTGGTGATGGTTGTAACAGTGCTACAAATGCAGTAGAAAACATTGAACTTGACCCTTTGAATGGGTAGATTTTTATGTTATGTAAATTATGTTTCAGTAAAACTATTTTCTTAAAAGGTCTTTTTTCAAAGGGCCAGTCTTCATAACCTCCTAAAGTAGTACTATCCATTTCTATAGCAATATTCTATACCTACACTGCCCAATATGGTAGTAACACAGGTACTTGAAGCAACTGAGCAATTAAAATGTGGTTTATGTGACTGAGGACTGAAGCGTTCATCTTCATTAAAACCTAAAGAGGCACATTTCACAAATAATTACCATTTAGATAGAACAGTTCTAGAGTTTATATAGAAATTTATTCTTTCTACTCAAAGTTCACACTCAACACATTTTTTTCTCACCAAATGAGTGCTTCAAGGGGAAAAAAAGGTGACTTTGCCAAGCACCAGTAGCTCACACCTGTAATCCTAGCTACTCAGGAGACTGAGATCTGAGGATTGCGGTTCAAAGCCAGCCCTGGGCAGGAAAGTCCATGAGACTCTTATCTCCAATAAACCTCCAGAAAACCAGAAGTGGTGCTGTGGCCCAAGTGGTACAGTGCTTGCCTTGAGCTGAAGAGCTGAGGGACAGTGCCCAGGCCCAGATTTCAAGCCCCATGACCGACAAGAAAAGGTGGCTTTTCCCGGTGACACAAATGCCTTTCTTTGCCTCTTCAGTCCTACCACACCCTGAGTGATTCTGATCACACTGGCCTCCAGAGCATTGGACTGATGTTTGGAAACAACTCTAGGGCCTTCTCATGTCAAAAGGATTTCAGTATATGCAAGAATTTATCAAGAAAGTTAACTCTAGCCCAGAGAGAAGCAAAAGTTTCTAAGATATTAACCATATAGATTGTCTTCAGTGCCTTATGATCATATATAATTCAATATACCTGTAGTCTCACCCATCAAGATAATAATCCTAGCTACTCAGGAGACTGAGATCTAAGAATCAAGGTTTAGAGTCAGCCGAGGGAGAGAAAAAACTGCAAGAATATTATCTTCCAATAACTAGCATAAAGCTGAAAAGTGGTAGCATGGCTCAAGTGATAGAGCATCAACTAAGAGAGAAAAAAAAGCCAAACAAGAGCACAATGCCATGAGTTCAGTACCAGGGCAGGGGAAAGAATAAAGCCAATTATGGTGACACAAGGCTATAATCCTAACTACTTGGGAATCAGAGATCAGCAGATCACACCATTTGAAGCTAGCCAGAGCATGGGTTCACCAGACTCCATCTAGACCAATGGCTGGACATGGTGACACACACCTGTCACCCCAATGATATGGAGAAGCACAAATAGGACTGAAATTCAGGCCGACCTGGACATAAACTGAGATCTTGTCTCAAAAATAACCAAGGCAGGCCTGACCCTGGTGGCTCATGCCTGTAATCCTAACTATTCAAGAGGATAAGATCTGAGGATTGTGGTTCAAAGCCAGCCCAAGCAAGAAAGTCCATGAGACTCTTCTCTCCAATAAACCACCAAGAAACTAGAAGTGGTGCTGTGGCTCAAAGTGGTAGAGTGTAGCCTTGAGCAAAAGAGCTCAGGGTCAGCACCCAGACCCTGAATTCAAGCCCCACAACTGACAATAAAATAATAATAATAACCAAAGCCAAATGGGGCTAGTGGTGTAGTTCAAGTAATAGAGAGCCGGCCTAGCAATGGTGGAAACATTACACTGTTCCATACAAATTAAGCCTGTTCTGATCCTTTCTCTGTGTCTCTGTCTCTGTCTCTGTCTTTGTCACTGTCTCCCTCTCCCTTTCCCTGAAACTGGGAGCAGATGGCAATCTGAAAGTCAGGAAGAGATCTCTCATCAAGAGCCAAATTGGCCAATACCTTGAACTTCTTATCCTTTGTAACTTTGGGAGATCCATATGTGTTGTTCAAACCATTCCGTCTATGGTATTCTGTTATGACGGAACACCAGGAAAGATAAGTCCTTCTGACAGCCCAAATCTTGGGCCTACTCCATTCATTCTGGCTTGATCCTTTATGTCCTGCTGCATCATGAAACTACTCAACTCCTGAGTTCACTTGGTCTCCTCTTGTTGGCCCTGCTTTTGCCAATTACACTTTATGACACATCTAGTTTCTTCTGCTTGACCTTTGGTATTCTTCTATGAAAACACTTACTTCACTTTGGCTCCATCCAGTTAGAGCATTTCTGAGTCACATTCTGAGCTAGTTTTAATCTCTGCCCCACCATGGTCGTCACAGTTAGGAGGCTGGTGACTGGTCTGAGGCCAGAAGGGAACTAAAACCTTAGTTATATTACTGTTTCAAGGACAAAAGGCTTTTTTTCCAGGAAGAAAATGATGCATTTGTCACCAATTGAAGGACAATTGTACTTAATTGTTTGCTAATCTAGAAAGAATCATTGCCTTGACTCATAAATTTGACAGTAAAGCAGTGTAGACAACCTGGTGATGCTTTAGGTTAACTTCTGCTGAACTTGTTGTATGAAAGTGGTATTTGAACTCAGAGCTTTGTGCTTGCAAGACAGGTACTGTACCACTTCAGCCATGTGTCTAATCCTTTTGTTCTAGCTGGTTTTTCAGATATAGTCTCACACTTTTTCCCTGGAGCCATCCTTGGACTCTCGTCTTTTTGCCTATGCCTCTCATGTGGCTAAGATTTCAGAAATGTAGCTTGTTTGTTGAAAAAGGATGTTGCCAACTTTTTTCTGCCTGGGCTGGCTACAGACCACTAACCTTCTAATCTTCATCTCATGAGTAATGGGGACTACAGGCATAAACCTCCATGCCTGGCCTCTCATCAGAATTTTTGTCTGCATGTTTATCGTAATTTTCTCTGATCAATGGCATTCCTCACAAAAACTTACCCACAGTTACTCAGGGCCACATACTCTTCTATTTTTATTCAACTATACTATTATAGCTCTGTGTTCCTACATGATTCTGTTCCATAACCCCTCATAAGAAAGCCATGAAAGTTTGTATCATATACATTCCCAGCATAAAGATATCTAAAGTATCATTTCAAATTGCGTTTATTTAAGCTATTTGTATGAACCAAGTGTCTAATATCTCTGTCAAGACCTGTGCTAGATATTTTGGAAATAGGGAAAACGTCATTTCTTGCCTTTACAGAAGCAGACAGGGGAAAGATAAATCAACATCTTAGCAGGTAGGTAAACCAGGTGATAGAGCTACCACTATGCCCTGTAGGCCCCATTTCCACTTTCATTATAAGAAACATGATTTCCCATCAGGCCTGTACTCAGCAAGGAGCCAGTCTATGTGTGCTAGTGGTAGTGATGATGATTTGGTATTTTTCCAGATTAGCTCTGAAACCTGAACATTGTTCAAATGGCACTTGTGGTCAATTTCATCAGGTATTACAATCCACTGGCAACTCATGACCCCTCATGTAAAGACTGATGAGCTAAATGAACAGCCTTATCCACTGAATTTATATAACACTAGTGAGATTGCAGTTTTTTAAGAGAATCTCTTCTTCAAGTCTCCAAATTACCAACTATGTCAGTGAAGAGCCTTAATAATATTCACTGTAAAATAGCAACAAAGATTCTACCTCCACTCCTGTCACAGGGTACAGATAAGGTCTGGACCCTTTCAGATATATGCCTGTTTATCATTATGAATCAGCTTTGCCTGTATTTTGTGATCATTGTCACATATGTATAATGGACAGAAAGATTGTACAATAGGTCCCCGGGAGCATTACATAAAGCAGTATGTGTGGGAGGCAAGAGCCCAAAAGAAATTCAAAGGCTTTTGTTAGGGGTACATTGCCCATCAAATGGCATTTCAAATTGGTAGTAAGGGATATGAAAGGCAATGATCCAAGCTTCTGCCTGCTTGAGGTTAGTTCTCCAGCACTCGGGCAGAAATTTTAAATGAATACATTAATTGACTAGAGTTGCTCCTTGCCCCACAGTCATATTGACCAATAGGAGGCAGCTGAGAGACAGCCCCAACAATTCAAGTGGTATATGAGGCAGTGGAAGAGATAATAAGAATGCATTTCCTACCTGAAAGAAAGATAAAACTTGACATGAGAAGCAATCCATAAAGCCTCTGATATACGATGTGTTCTTTCATTGTCTGAACCTGCATTCAAAAGTCAAAATATGCCCAGCTCAATTTCAGAACAAAATAATGTCTAAGTGTACATGCCCACTTCTTCCCACTCCATCTTAGGATTTTGCTATTGCTTAAAACTGTGTTAGTCAACTCGAAGACAGACACCATGTCTGAATTATTCACCCTGGCTGAAACCTCACTGACTAATTTATCTTTATATCTGCTCACTAAATTCTTATTAAATTCCTACTATGTGTACTTGTTTTATCCACTGGGAATATAGGGCTGGGTAGATAAAGTAGAAATTGGCCTCGGGGGAGCAATTAGCCCAATGGGGAAGATAGACATTAAATGCATAATTATTAAGTACGATGCACTCAGGACTAGAGATATGCCTTAGTGGAATAGTCCTTGCCTAGCATGCATGAGACTCTGGGTTTGATCTTCAGTATTGCAAAACAAAATGCAATACATTCAACCTTAATTCACAAAATTCCAACTCAACTATTTGCAATTTTAATAATCCTTAACTTTTTAGCCGGTTTTGGGGGTTTTTTTGTATTCTTCTTTCATTTATTTTAACCATCACATGCAGGCCTTTCACTTGTCACTATTAAAAAATCTGCATTTTAAACTGATTCTTAGACTGGTGGCTCATATCCATCAGCTTGTTTGACTTTAGCACCCATCTCGTCCCTAGAAGCTTTTCCAGTGTCAGCCTTCATCATAAAGCTCCAGGAGTTTACCCAATTCAAACTCAGGCTTCTTAGGCATTGTTACTTTTTTAACGAAGATATCATGAACTACATAAATAGACTGAAAAGCCTTTCTTATGTCTTCCCCAACCCTGTCTGGCTCTGAGCAGTACCATGGTACACAGCAAGAACAAGTGCCTTACAAAAGTTGGCAAAAAAAAAAGGAGTCAATAAGGAAGTGGTTGATGATTTTCTAAGAAAGATTGGTATGATGTGAAAGCACTGGGCATGTTCAATATAAGAAATATTGGGAAAACACTAGTCACGAGGACTCAAGGAGCCAAAATTGTGTTGGATGGCCTCACGGGTTGGGTGTTTGAAGCGAGCTTTGCTGATCTGCAGAATGATGAAGTCACATTTAGAAAATTCAAGCTCATGACTGAGGATGGTCAGGGCAAGAACTGCCTGACCTATTTCCATGGCATGGATCTTACCTGAGGCAAAATGTGCTCTATGGTCAAAAAGTGGCAGACCATGATGGAAGCTCATGGTGTTGTCTAGAGTACAAATGTTTATTTACTTCATTGGTTCTGTGTTGGTTTGACTATAAAACGCAACAATCAGATACTCAAGCCCTCCTATGCTCAGTGTCAACAGTTCCTCCAAATACAGAAGAAGAGTTTTCTTTAAGTTTTAATGGATATGTGTGTGTGTGTGTGAGAGAGAGAGAGAGAGAGAGAGAGAGACTGAAATTTTCAGCATACCCACTGTTACCAATGTAACTCATCAAATCATGTCTACTCTTGAAGCAGATCTATGTAGGGAAACCTGACCTCTATTTCCACACCATCTTATTGCATTTACTCATCTTCTCACTTTAATTAATTGTACCTGAAGCTTTTTATTTAGGAAAAAACACAGAAAAGTCACCTTTCTTCTTATGTTTGAAATATAAATTTTAGTTAAAACCACATATTCTATTGGCATAAACTACAGAAAGCTGGCAGTAGAATGTTGATGGGCATCTTCTGATTTAAGTAAAATATACTTCTGAATGGCTCACTTCTGATTTAAGCATTCCCTTTCCTATAGGATAATGTAACATACTGTATATCTTTACACTTCTCAGTGGAATCTGGAGCTACATTTAATATAATAGAAGGCAACTAGGAAATCACATGAATCTTAAGCTGGCCATAACCACCAGCCATTAATCAGACTCTTCCTATTTACCAAGTATTCAACTACTATTCTCATTAGAATAATAACAGAATTCGTATGACTTGGATGGATTTTCTAAACTATGAGATTAGAAATAAAGGGATATCTAAATCTTTTATGACTTTCGAGATGAACTGCAGCTTAAATTTATAGTGTCAGAAGAGGACCATACTGAGAATCAGTAACTAGCTGTAAAACTGTACATATTTTGGTTCCTTAATTTCCCTGGGCCTCAGTTTCCTTATCTGTAAAAATATAGATAATAATCAGCCTATTCCCCAGAGCTGCTCTAGAAGAATTAAATAAGATGATATTGCAAAGGCAATTTTCAAAGCATAAAGTGCTATTGAAGTGGATATGATCACTATCTATAAAATGGAATTTTCAGCAGCAAACAAGCCAGTTTATATCTTTCTTATGTTTCCTCTGAACTTTTGTAACAATTCCAAGGCATGTTTCAGAAACTTACCTGGCATCCAATAAGTAAATCATTGAGCATTCAACAACAGAATACTATGCAACTACTAAAAGGAATAAAGTAAGTCTATATCTCAAGCATGAAAAGGTGAACTGGAGAAAGTTGGGCAGGACTGGAGGATGTTGCTTCTATATACTGTACAATTTCATATTGCTTTAGTCTTTCTTAGTAGTAATGCACTTCTCATATAACTTTTAGATTTGAAGGGAAAAAGAGAAAGAAAGGGAAAGAAAAACAGGAAAAAAATAAAGAATAGGAAATTGATTTTCTTTATACCATCTATGATTATGTACTGTTTGCTTTCCAATAGAATACATCTCTTTCATGATTTAAAAAAATCAATGGAAAGAAGGTACAGAGGAAAAGAAAAAAAGAAGAGAGAAAGAAAAAGTGAAGATTGAGGACCTGCATAATTCATACAATTCCATGCAAGCTTTTCACGGGTAATTGTTGCTTTCATGATTTAAAAAAATATTTAAAGCAGAGGCTGAGGGAGAAATTCTGAGTTTCCCAGTACCATCAAAAATAATGAAAGAATGGAGAGGGGAAGGGAAATAACAAAATGTTGAAACCAAAAAAAGTGCTGAAACAAGGATATAGGCTGACCAATTTTAACAATGAGATGTACAAGACATTATGTTAAAAACGAACTTAACAACTTCAGGGGGTGAGGGGGAAAGGAGGAATTGGGGAGGTGGGCAGGGAAGAGATGGCTAGGGAAAAACAAAAGAGGGGGTAACAATGCTCAAGAGGAAATGTACTCATTACCTTTTCATGTAACTATAACCTCTCTGTACAGTATCTTTACAATAAAAATATAATAAAAAATTCATCCACTGTACTATATCCCCAGCCTGATTTGTCAATTAATGAGTTAATTAGTTGATTGATTAATAAACAATTTTAAAAGGCAAAAAATAGTGAAAGAAGAATGAAAAGAAAAGAGGAGTGAGGAGAGAAGGGGAACATAGGAGGAAAGAGAAGGAGGAAGAAAAAGAGAAATGCTTACCTGAGAACAGAATCCCTTTTACTTCCTACCCCTTTGTCCCTGTGGAGTCCCCCAAAAAAGAATTTGCTTTACAAATGACCAAGTCTGTTCATGAAATCCCTGCATTTGATGTTAAATGGTACAAGCAGAAAACAGGAGACTCATAATCTGCCAGTCATGCCTCGATCACCCTCTCTAATCAAACCAATCTCTTTGCTCTTGGTTTTATGGGGTGTATTGACTGGGATAGATCCTCTTTTTGTGGCTTGCAGCACGTCATGGGGCTGGTCTCTGGAGCATGAAATCAGCTTGAGCAAAGTTCTTAGGTTATTACATACCTGCAATAACCCATTAATTTCAGGGCTCTTTCCAAAGTTTCATTAAGGATTATCTTGAATTCCTAGTTAATTATTGCTCCAATGAAGCTGGATATATTAAAAGAATACTTGCCCCACTTAATTAAGGCTCACTGCACTTTATTGAGCCAATGGGAGGTAGAGATACTCAAGGACTATCCGCAGAAAGCAAAGGCCAAGAAGACATGAACATATTGACATCCATCACTGTCAGCCTCTAAACGTTACAGATGAGGACCCTAACGTCCAGTAAGTAGAATGACTTACCTACCATCACACAGCTGGTAAAGGCAAAGAAAGAGCTAACACTGAGATCTCCTGACTTGCAGACATACTGCATTTTCCTTATGTCTCATGCGTTTAGTATGAAATTTTCAATCTAAATAGATAGCCAAGCAATCTGTGAGCCAGAATTCTCTGTAAAGGAAGAGGGAAGGAAGGAGTGTGTCACAATTCTCCATTATTCACTTCTAAGCCCCAAATCTGTGATTGATGTGGAAGATAAGATCCAAAACTTGACAAAAAGACAAGACTCAAGATAAAATCTCAGGTGTGGTATTTAAGGCCAGTTGCTTGACATCTCTGGATCCCTGATTGTCCTCATTTGTAAAACACAAAGAATGGAACTCATGTTATATTGTTGTGAAGATTATGAGACAATATGAATAAAGATTCATGGCTCAGGGCCTAGCGCAGAGTTGCAGTGCCATAGCTCCTATCTAAGAGATGAAGGTTTTATAACCTCCTCTCCCTAACCCATCGGCTTATACAAAGTTGTGGAGTAACTGTAGAGGATCAGCCCTCTCCCATTTGTTGATACTTCACAAATCCTTCACAAATGCTTGTGGGTATCCCACAAAACCCTAAGACATGGAAGGTCAACAATTCCATGTTATTTAGTGGTTCACACTTTGCCTGGCATAGAGAGAACACAAAAATCAATATTTGGTACATGAATGAACATGTCTTTCTCCCCCAGTACAGTGCAAGTTTCTTAAAGACTACAAAATTCATCTCTTTTCACCCTTTGACGTGCCCCAAGAGTTACCATAGTGCCGGACCTATGACACATAATAGCAGTTTAATGAATACTTGCTGAAACGAAGATAGCTACAGTTTGAAGATGAGTGGTCTCCCTCAAAGATTCATATAAAAAGGTTTGGTCCCTGGTGTGGTACTATAGGGAAGTACTGTGGTCCTTTATAAGGTGTGCTAATAGACCTTTAGGTCATTGGGGGTGGTCCTTGAAAGGGATTGCGGGACTCCAGTCTTTCAGTCTG